TGTCGGAAAAAATTGCTAACAGGTAGATATCTGAAGCTAAAAATTCTTGTACATTTTACTTCAGCAGATCGTATCAAAGCCCTAAGCTTATTTTCTTTGTTTATGACAAATTCCGTTAGCCAGTAATCAATGTTTACATTGCTTTACTAGTCAAACACTCAATATATGCTGGTTATGCTACCAAACTGATGAAGTTTTAAATACAAATGCTTGAAAGAATTCAAAAATCAATGTCAAAATCTTCCATTTCCTGCGGAATTTGAATACATCCCGCAAATCTGTTTGCGTAGACTACAGGCAACAATTATTTTGCTTATGCATAACAGATCGTCTACAAACATATGGTTGTTCAGTGCTGTTCCAACAGCGGCATAAAACAGCTGATAAACAAAATAAGAAGACTGAACTAGTCATGTCAGTTAGTCATAAATTTGATACATGAAGACAGGATGTGGCATATATACGAAAGTCACGACATCAGTGCATAATGCCCACATTTTATAATTTCCACTTAAAGTTATACACTTAATGAATAAGCAAATGTGCAAGAGAAAAAAAACTTATTTTTTGAACAGCAAAACGTTTTGATTAAATTAAGGAAAATTTGAAAATACATGTAAATGAGCAGAAATGATAGAACTAGCAAAAAAATACCGGTGATAATGACGGTGGTGACAAAGTGGTGTAAAAAAATTGCTCAACTTTGGACTGCAAAAAGTGTTTTTATCAAAATTTCAAATGTTACTCTAAGTATTTGATTTAAAATCAGAAAACTGTTATTTTTTTACTCGTATATTTAAATAAGAAACAGAACGTGTAAAGAGTTTAAAGCGCTGTTAAGGTACACAACAGTTGAGAATTTTTTCTTCTTCGATCTTTTACTCAGATAAATTGATAATAGTTGTAGTTTTGTGCCAATGGAAATAAAGTAACGGTTAATTAGACAGTAAAAAGAAAGCGACGAACAATGGACAAGGAACAAACTTTTTTGTTCATCATTTTAACACATCATTTCAAAGAACGTCATTTTTCAATTATTAGATCCATAATTTTGATACTCAGAAGTAAAGATTTCCAATTTCTTTTTAGCATATTAAGCGACAAAAAAATTGTAAAGATATAAATGATCATAAAAATTTGAAAGAGATTAAGAAAAAATGTTCTTTTTTTCTTAAACTAATTGTTCTCAAGAGGAAAAAAAAAACAAAAAATAAAAAAAAAGGAGGAAAAGAGAAGTGAAAAGAAAGATTTATTTTGCACTCTTGAAAATTGATGGTGACTACGTCATTGAGAAAACAGCAACGATGGCAACAGCAGCAAACCGAAGATACAAGCCGTACGTATGTATGCATATGTATCATATAGAAGATCAACTATTTGCAAAATCGGCCTAACAACGACACTATTACCATCATCATCATCGTCATCATCGATAACAAAATTACAGACGACGACGACGACGACGGCGACGACACGAACGTCTCCAACAACGGTAACTGCAATAGCAGTAGCAGTAGTAGTAGCAACATTCACAACGACAAAGCATTAATATCAGTCTACATCTACATATAGTTACCAGTATTCGCAAAATTCCTCTTTTTTTTTTGTTCTCTGTTGTAATTACTTTGATGCTAAATAATTTAACAAAAAAGTGCACCAGTCTGTGCATTTGCTGTACCGCTGTTATGCTAAAACAGAGCCAATTAATAGGCTGGCAAGATGGCAGCAGAAGGGAGAATGCGATATAGGAGGAAAGAAAATGATTCAGTGTAAAATGGTTTAAACGAAATCCTGAAACTTTAAAGCTCTAGAAGAAGTAAAAGAAAAATAAAGTTACATTATTAATGATGATACCAAAAATATCATGAAAACTAAATTTATTATCAGCCTTATGATAAAGATTAAAACAATGCCCCGAAAAAAAGGTTATTGCAGAGACGAAGCCAAAGCAGAAGTGATTTCAACAAAACAGAACAAAGTCGTAGATAAATATTTTGGATATACAATGATTATAAATTAGTAATTAATTTTTTGAAAGCAAACTGATTACAATGTTTATTTCGTATTTTTCTAAAACGACAATAGTACTGGTTACTTTTCTTCAACTTTTATTTCCCACAATAAGAAAAAAGAACGGGGGGAGGGGGAGGGGAAAAAAAATAGAAGAAACTGATCAATTTTTTGTTATCGAAAGTCACTGTCGAATTGTACTGTCCTTAGAAGTTAAGTATCTAATTCGGTTGCACAGAATAAATAGGTGAAGATCTAAGGCAGATAAGAAAATTCTAGAATATCACTGAAGCCAATAAACCATCGATTGCAACAAGAAATATCATTTATCTATGTATATACGTATCTGAACTGTTCATGTTTTTCATCGCTCCATATTGGCAAACAGAAATTTTTTTGTAAATACTGCGTTTACTATCAGCTACAATTCAACTGGAGCGATCATAGGCAAAAACTGTTTTCTGTTGAATTTTTTTATCAGCTTTTAAAACTTTAAAAAAGTTTTGATAAAATAAAGTAGGCAAAAACAAGAAACCAAGAAACTGCTGCAAACAAATATGCAAGAACCAAACTGTTGTTTCTCATTTTCTCAGTTATTTTACGAAGAAAAAAAAAACTGAAGAAAAAAAAAAGAAAGAATTTAGAAGAACAGTTATGATTCATAGATCACAGTAACATTGGATAAGCCAGTTCTGCAGTTCAGTTAAGTGAATAATCAACGGCTACATAAATAAATAAATGAGTAAATGAATGAATGAACAAATAAATAAACGAAATAAGTAAATTAAATAACAAAAAAGTGAATGGATAAATAAATAAATAAATGAACAAATAAATAGATCAACAAACATATAAGTAAACAAATAAGAAATAAAGAGAGAAGGAAAGAAAGAAAGAAAGAAAAGAAAGAAAGAAAGAAAGAAAAAAAGAAAGAAAGAAAG